ATATATATATATATATATATATATATATATATATATATATATAAACAGTTACCTAAAAACATTTTCAGTGGTATTTGGAAGCAGGTTTGTAGGGTGAGGGCCAGACCGTAGTTAACTGATTTAAATCAAGTTTCAAGTGATATAATTTGTAAGAATGTAGTTTACTTTCCTATTTTTACTTTAACTTGGGAAAACTTTCAACTCTTAAATGTATCTTAATAGATGGAGGAATACAAATATAAGATACAATGATTAAAATAAACATGTGAGTTTTATTTTTAGGCTTGGGTGCTGTGGGAGAGTTGAACCAGAAGTTCATATTCACATATTGCACTTCATGCCTAGCTCCTCCTGACCTGGACTTCTGTTGTCATTCTAGATAATTGACAGACTAAATAATTGAGGAAGTGAGGACATGTACTACAAAATTCTGCCATTTAGTCTTCTTTCTATAATGAACAAACTGATGTTAAGGAGTTTTTTCTTTTTAAAAATAATTCCATTTTTCATTACAGAAAGCTGTGTACCAGCACATGTGGTGGCTGCCATTGATGTAAACACTGTCGCTAATGAAGTGTACAAATATAATTTTCCTCACACACTGTTACTGGCCAAGACAATTGAAGTGAGTAATGATTATTTTTATTTTAATAAATATAAAGGAAAATGTGATGGAAAAACCTTGCACAATACTAGTTTCTGATGTCTTAATTAGAAGACAGGGTCATGTGTGTTTGTGTGTGTGTGTGTGTGTGTGTGTGAGAGAGAGAGAGACAGAGAGAGAGAGAATGTTTACGAGAGGGAAATTAACATTTTTTATTTAATCAAAAGAAAGAATGCTACTTCTTTTGTCTTTTTTATTTTTCAAACTTCCAGCTTTAGAGAGAGAAAAGTATGTTAGTCTCTAAGAGAAAGAACTGAAATGTAAAAAAAATGCTTAAATTCGAAATGCTTGGTTCTGTAGTGACATTAAATTTTGTTTAGTTCTTTACTTTTAATTAATACTCAACTCCCAAGACAATGGCCTTTAAAAACCCTTCAGACTTGGGAGTGACCTCACCTCCTTGGCTCAACTTTCAGCCAAACAATAGACAGGCCTATAAAGTGATCACTCTCACCAGGAAGATAAGCACTTCTTAGAGCAGTCAACCCTAAAAAAATCAAAACGTCAGCATTTGTCCACAAATAAAGCTTTGAAGGTGGGAAGGGATAGGAAAGAAGGATGAACAGAAATGGTAAACGCAGGGAGGAAGTTCAAGAGTGCTGTTCCATTGTAGAGATTGCAGTCAGTGTGGTTAAACAAAATGTGTATGAATTGTTGAATGGAAAACCAATTTGTTCTTTAAACGTTCATCCTAATCAAAATAAAAAGTTAAGAAAAAGAGTTAACATCATGTGCTAAGTAACAAAAATCAGATTGAAGTATGTCATAATGATCTCATGCTCATTACTAATGAATAAATATTAATGTTTCAAAGAAACTTAAAAGAAATTAATATCCATGTGCCTTATAGCACATGGGAAAAACAAAGGAGGCAGTCATTAGCTATTACTTGCTTCCTATTTTAGGGCGCTTGTCAAAATTAAAGAGACTACTTCACCAGTGATGAACTCAAAAGAAATATTTAACTCTGTATGTAAAATGGTAAGTGTGAGAGTTCTGGAAAAAGCCAGAAGAGCCTAATACAATCACTATAGAAGTGGAAATTATATTAGAAGTTGTTGTTGTTGTTGTTATGTGCCGTCGAGTCGGCCCCGACTCATAGCGACCCCTCCTTGGGTTTCCGAGGCAGCATCACTACGGAAGTAGGATTGCCCAACCTTAAAGTAGCTAAAAGTAAAACAGGCAGTGCTAACAAAGGGTCGTGAAGGGTGGAGTTTGATGAAAATAAACCAAAATAAATTGGAATGAATGCTGATCTAAGTGTTGCTGAGTAAATGATAGCTCCCGGAGCAAATTGTGATCTATATAATTAGTGCTTCTGAAGATGAAAACAATAACAATAGATGTGAAACAAAGATTATTAAAAGATATATAAAAGATGAAAAATTTTCTGAAAAAGTGCAATAACTCATGGAATATAACATTCGTGAACCTTTCTTGGGAAAAAAAAAAAAAAAAAGACTGGTTACCAAGTCTAATTAAGCAAGATAGGAATCAAATGAGAACCCAGGAATGAAGAAAGTGCTCGGTAGCCAATGCCAAGAGGAACCAGGCCAATGTGAATTGTTAAAAAAATAAGTTTTATTGAATCATCCGTCTGGCAAATGGGCTGAGACCAAAGGTGGCATCAACCCTTATGCCATAGCCACATGGGACTTACGTAGGAATTTAATGAAGGAGGTAGAATATCTGTTTCAAAAGGGCCAATCATTAGCGAGTCTGTAAATCCTGCCTTTGCACAGGCGGGAAGGAGTGGCTGAGTGCAAAGGTGGGCTGAGAACAAAGGCAAAAAAGCTGGCTGCAGAGGCTTGAACTGAGTGCAGGGGAAAGTTGCCGGTTGGGTTGAGTAAATAGTTAGCTTGTTAGATAGGAAAGACACAGAAAGAAGCAGAATATAAATATTGTAAATCTTAACGATGTATAAATAATGTTACTGGCGTAGAAAGGGGAAATGAGACCAAAATATATCTATTGAAGATAAGTTATAGATTTTTAAATCATTACTTAGTGGTATAAAGATAACCAGTAATAACACTAATATAAGTGATTTATCTAGATAGAAGATAGGAAATTAGTGATACTGTCTGGGAAACCTGAGGAGGGGTCGCTATGAGTTAGGTCTGACTTGACAGCACATAACAACAACAACAACAAAATACAGACTTCTGGAGGGCAGAAACATTATCTGATTTTTTTCATTGTTGTATCCCCTGACCTGGTACAATGCCTGGGATATACCCTATTTTTATGCAGATGACATACATTCTATGTTTTCTTGCCAGCCACCCCACCCCCACCCCCATATCCAGTTATTTTTGTAAGCATGCTATGCTAATTTTAAGACTAATGCATGCATAAAAATGCAATTGTAGGTATTCTGAAATATTAGTGTATTAATTCATGAGCACTATTTAATGAACAACATATGTTGCCTAGAAATAGGTAAGAACATGCTAAGCAAATTCTAACAAAGAATATCAGAAGTTTCAGTGTAGTGGTTAAGTGCTCATCCTCTAACCAAAGGTTTGTGGTTTGAACCCACCACCCACTCCCTGGGAGAAAGATGTGGCATTCAGCTTCTATAAAGATTATAGCCTTGGAAGCCCTATGTGTTAGACTGGGTTCTCTAGAGAAACAAAACCAATAAAGCTTATATATACATGTATATATAGAGAAATTTATCTTAGGAAAATGGCTCACACACTTACAGAAGCTAGCAAGGCCAAACTTCCTGGATCAAATGTCAAGCTAGAGGCTTTTCCCGACTCTTGCAGCCACAGGGGCTGAGGAGCTCAAGGCTGGCAGGCAGTACACTGGCTGTTGACTCCAACGAATGACAAGTCCAAGATCTCCAGGCCAAATGGTAGATTGTTCACTCACTGACAGTTGTAGGCAGCACAACAGAATCATGATCCACAGAAGAATGTCTCTTTTCCTGGAATGTCCGTAAATATACTGGAAGCAGGCCATACCTCTAGGGAAACTCCCTTTCAACAGAGCATAATCATCTGATCCCATCATGGGATAACCACATCACAACAGCTTAAACCACACAGAATTGTGTCCAGCCAAGTTGACACACAGCTCCAACTATCACAGTCCACCCCTTCTCAACATGGCAGTTGTACATATCTTCTTAACCATATATAATCTCTAAATAAGGACAATTATAAAGTCATATTTGCACCTAACATGATACGCTAACACACATACAACCAAAATGCATTAACCATATTTACATTTCACAGTTTATAACAGAAGGAAACAAAAATATTTGATGCACATATACAATGAAGAAATAAAACAATCACAGTCCTCATTTCTGCAGCTGGTCACGTGGTCGTAGCTGATATTCAGAACTACCTTCTTCCACCACCCATTCTGTATTTCCCTTTCCCTCAGCAGGCACCTCAGCTGGTCGTGGTTCTTTGCCTGGTGGGGTGACCCAAACCTTCATTCCTGAAGGGTCTGGGCCATTAGCAGTCATATCAGAATTGGATTGCTGTAATTTTCCATTGACCTTAATCATAGGGCATGGTAGCACTAAGAGATGTTGTGATAGTTGGCGCTGTGTGTCAACTTGGCTGGACCTCAGTTCTGTGTGGTTGTTCCCATGATGGGATTAGATGACTGTGTTCTGAGTGGCCAGTCTGTTGAAGGGGAGTTTCCCTAGGGGTGTGGCCTGCTTCCAGTATATCCAGGGACATCCTGGGAAGAGAAACATTCTTCTGTGGATCGGGATTCTGTTGTGCTGCCTCCAACTGTCCGTGAGTGAGCAGTTCACTGTTTGGCCTGGAGATCATGAATTCATCATTCATTGGGGTCAACAGCTGGTGTATTGCCTGCCAGCCTTGAGCTCCTTGGCCCCTGCAGTTGCGGGAGCCGGAAAAAGCCTCCAGCTTGACGTTCGATCCAGGAACTTTGGACTTGCTGGCTTCTATGTGTGTGTGAGCCATTTTCCTAAGATAAATTTCTTTCTCTCTCTCTCTCTCTCTCTCTCTCTCTATATATATATATATATATATAAGCTTTGCTGGTTTTTGTTTCTCCAGAGAGCCTAGTCTAATACATTTGATACCGGCTGTGGTTCTAGAGAGACAAAATCATAAGGATGGGCTTCCTAGATTGGTTCTCCAGTTTGATTACTCTTAAAGACACTAGCAACCCTGTGTCTGTTAGTAAAGGGAGCGCTGCTAATCCGTGACATGAGGTGGCAAAATTAATACACAAAATAGCACCACCAATAGATCAAGTGCTTGTGAGAAGTGATGTTCTGGGTGATCAGATACTTGATACTTTTCTGCAATTTTGTCAGAATGAGGAGTGTAAGAAAGTTGGTTGGTTGGTTCTACTTACACCAGACAAAGGGTGAAAGAGCGAGATGAGCTCAGAGATGCTGAGTCTTGGATTAAGCACCATATGCTCTGAAAGAAAGCCTTATATCTTCTAGTAACAGAGCGGATATCGCTGAAAAACAAATCCAGAGTCATATTGTAAGGGTGGCTGAAGTACAACACCAGTTAAATTGCCAACCCAGAACGGTGTCTGACATTAAAGTGAGGGCATTGATTGGAAAAAAATGGGATCCTGAAACCTGGAATGGGGCCATATGGACAGATAATCAGGAAGATCAGGATATGGAGCCTGTAAATTCTGTTGAATCCCTCCCATCTGAACGGATTATTGTAAAACCGTTATCTCCTCCCCCTCAGTTTGATGGGACTAGCCAAACTGGTCCTGCTGGATCATTGCCTGAGGCATAGGACAGGGAAGACATTCCTGAATGCTCTCAGGAACTGCCTCAACAACCCATTGTTGCTGCTAGACCTGTAACTAAAGTTAAGTCCAAGCAAGCCCCAAAAGGTGAAATACAAAGTGTGACTGAGGAGGTGGTACATTATACCTGAAAAGACCTACTTGATTTTGCTATCATGTACAGACAGAAACCTGGAGAATATATA